ATACATGTGTGCTGGTTTACGGTTGCTGGGTATCAAGTACAGAAGTTTCTTCCCTTCACTATTGCATTTCAGTATTTGTCTGGTTTTGTATAGGAAATCTTTGGTGAGTGTCTGCCACTGTTGTGTGTTCATGGGTCCATGTGTGGACTGGTTATTCAAAAGGTCCATCATTTTGGTGGTGTATTCACTGGTGACGAGTATGACGACTCCACCTCCTTTGTCAGCAGTGGTGACAATAATATTTGGGTCATTAGCAAGGTCCTTCAGAGCATTGATATAACACCTGGGAAGATTAGTAGAAGGCTCGTATAAAACTGCAGTGAGAATGCCCTGTATATAACCCTTCTGGAAGTTACTGTCACTGTGTCTGTGGTTTCTGGTGACTAAGTTCAGTTGATGGTTTGGTTTGCGTAGGTTAGTGGTAAATTTGAGACCCAGACTAAGCGCTTTTTTCTCATAATCAGTTAAGGTGTGTGACAATAGGTTGTTTATCAAGGATTCTCTTCCTATTTCCTTCCATCGACTGTTAGTGCAGAGGTACTGAAGCTTGCAATTGAGTTTAATCTTCTGCTGGAGGTTGGCTGTGGTGACTGTGCTGAGAATATGCTCAGCAGTGTGGTGGTCTATCTGAAGATTGGCCCTCGTATTTCTTGCAGTTTCAAAGGTTTCCTTAGCATATTCAGTTAAGTAAGCTTGGGCAGCTGGAGAGAAAGGGTATTTGGAGTTGGAAATATACAAACTTGTGCAATGAGTAACCCAGGTTGTGACCTAAAAAGAACGACAAATAGGTCAGAACAGCTAAACAAGACAGAAAAGCTGAGCGAGTGGATTGAGCAAAAAAGTGCACCACTTAACCCTTTGACTGTTTCTGGTCGTATATATACCTCTTATAAGCCAATGTGTTCACGTATATATACTCAAAAATTCTAGCAGCTTCAAATCAAGCAGGAGAAAGCTGGTAGGCCCACATGTGAGAGAATGGGTCTGTGTGATCAGTGTGCACTGTATAAAAAAACCTACAGCATGCAGTGCATAATGAGAAGAAAAAAACTCCGACCATGTTTTTGGATTAAAATGCTGACTTTGAGGTGTATTTTTGTATAGTATTTATGGTTGTATTCTCGTTTTCTTGGTCTCGTTGGATAGAATGGAAAACATATTACAGAAATAGAGATGATTTTGATTGGTTTTACTATGAAAAGGACCTTGAAATGGAGCTCAAAGTAGGGGAAATGTTTGATTTTTGCCGATGTTCAGGAGTAAACAAATGAAGTCATTGTCTAATAAATGTCCAACTAGCCATTCTAATATGCAGTCATGAATGGGTTGACATTATTTGTACAATTATTACAGTATTGCAGTAGTCTGCATAACAGTAAATCTTCTATTCTTTTTGTTTGAATAAAAATTCAAAATAGAAAGCAAGAGTAATATCAGAGGGGCCTGGAGATGTGACTGATGAACAAATAAAATGTTATTTTAGAGCCAGGAATGTCTGCATTGTTCATTCTGGACCCTATTTTGAAATTTTCATATTTTTTAATTTGTGTGAAATTGGCCAAATTGCCAATTTCTGACCATTTTATTGGGTAGTTTCTTGTACTCAGTCGATAGAACAAATGGAGTTCTAGAGAAATAGCTATGAGTTTGGTCAACTGGAACAATGGAATTAGCCGAAAATAGGGCTCAGAGTGAGCAATATCGCCGATTCGTAAATATTGCCGAGGTCGCTAACTTTACCAGAGCGTAATTCCATAAGTTTTCCATCAAATTTCGTATTTTGGCGTTATTACCATCGGGAAAAGATTCTCTATCATTTCATAAGATTTTTTTTTTTCCTCCAAATATTTTGCGACACCAGGAGACACCTCAGGATTTGGGGTTGCGACAGTCAAAGGATTAATTTCATCTTAATAAGGGGAAAAAGCTTTATAGTACTAAAAAGTGTGTGATGAGGAAGGGACGCCTGAAACAAGTGTTTGTTTAGTACAGGGTAGTTCCACAAGTTCAAATTGCACAATTGATTCCATAATATTAAGTTTTGAGGTAAAAGTGTTTCTGCTGACTACACTGCTGCAGGGAATTTTCCCTGCTGAGTTACAGGAAATTATTTCTGAGGGTGACTACAAGTCACAGCAAGTGTTTAATACTGACGAAGTGAGTCTTTATTGGAACAAGTGCATAAATTGAGTGATCCAGTCAACATTAACCCTTTCAGGGTCCATGCCGTAGTTCTACGGCTTTGAGTTGAGGGTCCAAACCGTAGATCTATGCCATGAGCTCAGCTCACTCTGATAAGCTGTGAGCGGTAAATTTGGGCTTAGATATGAAAGAATACATCTATGTGGTATGTGTGCACCACATAAAACAAATCCTTCAGCTCATAGTGCATAATGAGAGAAAAAACTGAGACTAATTTTCGATTAAAAGAGCAAATTTGCAGTGTTTTTTCGTATGTTTTTTATAGTTGTATTTGCGATTTCTTGGTCTCATTTGATAGAACGGAAGATATATTACAGAAATAGAGATGATTTTGATTGGTTTTAGTACTGGAAATGGCTTGAAACTGAGCTCAACGTAGCAGAAATGTTAAATTTTTGCCGATGTTCAAGAGTAAACAAATGACCTCACACATCTAATACACACCAGCTGGTGGGTCTGATATACATTCACAAATATGGTAATATTATTTATACAATTATTACAGTATTGCATAACAGTAAATCTTCTATATTTTGGTTTGAATAAAAATTCATTATGTGAATAAAAAATCTAAATGAAATTCATTTGTAAAGCCTGAAAACATAACTGATGAACAGAGGAAATGTTAGTTTAGTGCCAGGAATGCCTGCATTGTTTATTCTGGACCCTATTTTGAAATTGGAATACTATTTTGAACTTTGCGTTAAATTGGCAAAATTACCAATTTCCGATAACTTTATTTTGTAGTGGAAACATTTGACTTGGCGATTTCATGTGCTCACTCGATAGAATAGAAGTAATACTAGCGAAATAGCTAAGAATTTGGTCAACTGGATTAATGTAATTGGCCTAAAATGGGAGTCAAAGTCGGGAAAATTGCTGATGCGTAAATATCGCTGACACGTCAAAATTTGAAAGAGCGTAATTTCGTCAATTTTCCTTCAAATTTCGTACTTTTTGTTTTATTACCTTCAGAAAAAGATTCTCTATCATTTCATAAGAAAAAATAACAAAAATTTGTTTTTGAAAATTCTTGGACCCTGGTGCACACTTTGAAATTTGGCCTCTGGACCCTGAAAGGGTTAAATCAAGGCTGGGGAGTCATGACCTAGTGTGGTAAATATTTTCACAGGTTTTCCTTCACTTGGGAGTCAAGTGCTGCAAATTGTTTAGCTGGCTAGTAGATTGTCAGTTGAGGGCTTTGAAGATATGCAGGAAGATGTGAATGAACTGTTAGATGATGAAGAAAGGAGTCCAGAGACGTCAGAGTTCATTGACTAGGTACAAGGGAGGCAGATAACTGAGGAAGAAAAACATCTAATGTTGCAACAGTAAAAAGTTGCATATTGCTGCTAAACTAGCAGACTTTTTTCACTGAAGATAACCCTGACAAATCCAGAAGCACTGCTCTGCATTGGGGTCTAGAGCAGCTGATGATGCCTTACCATCTACTGTATAAAGTACTGCTGGGCAAGAGAGACCAGAGATGCATTAAAGAATTTCTCAGTACTCCAGTACAACTGTCAACGTCAGTGCAAGAGCCTCAACTTCCACTTCGGTCCAGTAGGGCTACACCTAACAAAATCATTGACATGCACCAGCAACCAGACTTTAAGGTAAGAAGTAATATTTATGTAATCTTTGAATCCTTAAAGTATTTTATTAAATATTATGCATCACTTTAGATCACTTCATCCACATACATTATTATCATAGTTTTTTTTTACAATTTAGAAACCTATAAAAATTTAGTTGGCTTTGTTGGGGGTCTAATAAATGTAAACTTATTTTCTTTATATGCTATTTAGTTCAGTTTACACTTTTTTTATTATTATACACTGTTTCCAGGAATGTAACTACTGTGTTATCCGACAGTCTACTGCATCAGACTTTTCTGAGGTTTTTCATAACCTTGTCTCATCTCTGGATATCAACCAAGACTCCCAAGAGAAATACTATCTTTGTTGGTAGCAAATCACTCATGAGGCATTTAGGTCACAGTGTGTCCCTTTTATGCCTTCATGAGTGTATTTTCACTGTGGAGGACACTGAGCAAGATGGTAATTTTTACCTCCTATAATCTACTATCAACAGCCTTGTCACAATACACAGACATTCCTTTCTCAGCTCTAGCTGTGGTACTGTCCTTGTACCATTATCCAACAAGACTTTTACAATGCAACCTGGACATTCAAGAGCAATTTGAGCTTCAAACCCTCCCAGTCACTGAAGTAGAAACTTATCTGCACCCTTCCCAGTGATGGGGAAGTCATCCTCCCAACATTGCTAAACTAACCTTCAGCTGCTGGGAGTTTCCAGCTTCCGTTTGTATAGTGGGGTAACGCTTACAGGTGTGAGAATTGCTCCCTACTCAACAATGCAGATATTGCTGGCACTTTGACCACCCAGCCACTGGCAGAATGCTCAGTCTACAGTGTAGCAGATCATCATAAGCCATCCTGTTGCCTGCCTCCCAATTTTCTTCATTGTGGTGAAGCTCATCCTGTGCACTCCCATTGATGCTGTCTTTGAGAGAATGTGAAATCTATTTTCTTGGGAATGGAAGGGACTTTTATATGCTGTGGCAGTGACTTTAAGGAAGATTTCCATGGCTCTCCTGCTCCAGAGTGCAGTGGGTTTTAACCCTGGGTTGCAACCCAAAATTGGGTCATAAGCTATTGAATTGGGTTGCCAAGGGACTAAGATTTTATTTTTATTGTTACTATTATAACAATTGCTATTACTTCCAGTGTTATTTCATAACTAGCATTAAGTAATTATTTCTGTTTTCTTTTCAGGTTGGTTACTTCATTCTTAGAAATTATGACTAAAAGGCAGCACGTACAAGGACGAATATCTCAATCTTGGCTTCACACACATCACTCAATGTGGCAGTCTCAAGCAGTGAGCCATTTAAGTAGAACAAGCTTGGAAGGAAAGGACAGTGAACAGAGAGCAGAGTTTCCTTGACAGGAAAGAACTGGAACTACAGAGATTGGATAATCCTACCAACACAGTTGTTTACTCTGCATGGCAAGCAGTATTTGATTCATACCTTGTAGCTTGGAGGATTGCACAAATAAAGAAGCTATACATTGGTGAGGAATTGGTAAAACCAGCAGCACTCAGAATGGTGTGGACACAAAATTGCGAACAAAATTGTGTGCAAACAAAATTGAACTGATATCTCTGTCAAATGACAATTAGTCAACAAATTAAGAACATGTCATGAGATATAAAAGACCAAGTGATTGCAGCCTTTAAAATTGCTGACAGTTAGTCTCCAGTGGAAAGCATTCACATGTGTTAATGATGGCTTACGTACGGTATCAGGGTCCAAAAGATAAGGAAGAGGAATTTGTTCTGCCAGCTATTACACACCACAAATGGAGAAGATATTTTTAAGATTGTGGACTCATTCTTCAAGGAAGAAGGGCTTCAGAGGATACAGTGTTTTAGTGTGTGTTGTGATAGTGCACCAGCAGTGTTATGAGCAAAAAAAAAAAAAAAGGAAAATCTGCATGTGTTGATTGTTCGGTCTACACCACGAAAATTTTGCTTCTCGAAGGTCACATGAGTTGCAAGTGATGCAGGCAGTCATTCAGGTCTTTAATTTCATCAAAGCTAGGGCTCTTAACTCAAGGATCTTCACTCATATGTGCTCATTTTGGTTCATATTATGCACATCTGTATCTGTTTTATCACTCTAAGGTTAAGTGACTGTCACAAGGAAAAGTGCTCCAGTGATTGCTTGAAATGTGGAACGAGACTTGAGATATTTTTGGTTGAAAAGAATCATTCATTGGCACAAATTCTCAGATTCAAAATGTGTGGTGCAAGTTGCTTATCTTGCCAATATTTTTGCTAAGAATAACACCTTGAACATTTTGATGCAAGGCCATGATTAGATGTTGGCTGGGCTGTCAGAAACTAACAGCATTCTAGGGGAAACTTAAGTTGTAGAAGAGTAAAATTGTAGCTGCTAAGACTGCACCATTTCTATTCTTGAGTGCACTTATTCAGGACAAAACATTTTCACTTGTCCAGGTCCAAAGCATCATTGTGAAACATATTTCTAAGCTCTGATAAAGTTTGATCACTATATTTCCAAGAATGTAATGAAATACACCTGGGTAAAAAAAAACCTTTAACATTGAATCTGGGGATCTGCCTGACAATATTTTGTACATTAAACTATGGAAGCAGCTCATTATGATTCAGAATTATGAGACAATTACAATTTCAAAAAGCAAAACAAATTGCCAAGCTCATTCTTTAACAAAGTTTACAAAGAAAAGCAGTCTTGGAGGTGAAGTCCTGAAAGTGCTCCTTCCTTTTGTTACAACTTTCCCATGTGAGAGGATTTTCAGCATGCATGTTCACAAAGACAAAGTACAGTAACCCTGATTTGAGTTTGTTTAAACCATGCCATACCAGGGATCTCATTAATTACTGACACATCTCCCATACCCCAGTCCATCTACTGAATTGGAGTTATATTTCTTAGATATTCATTATAATTTCTGTTTATTAGTCACATTAATAAAATATTCCCATTTAACTTTTGCTTTTGTCACTTTTTTTTGTTTAGGACTAAAGTAATTTTTCACTTGTTTGGCAAAATAAGGTTATGAGTCATGTAGATTCTCAGCAGGATTTTGGGTCACTCCCCCCCCCCCCCCCCCCCAAAAAATGCTGAGAACCACTGTCAGAGCAGCTCTGGTCCCTGTTGTACCTTTTTCCACAATCACCTCTGACATTCTCACCTCTTTGCCTTCACCCATTTCAACTTCCTTCTTCCACTTCCCTCTTTTCTTCCCTACACAGCCTTTCTTGGCTGGCCCTTCATCTCTTCCTTTGAGGTTTCACCTTAAAGGCCCAAAACTCTTCAAAGTCACCGAAAACTTTCTTCCAACCTGCTGCTCCTACACACTTGACTTTCCATTCCTGTCTTTCCCTGTGCCTCCTACACATCACAGTTTTGGACATCCATCCATCCCAGCTTATGTCAGCTAATTCCTGTCTCACCCCAGATTCCTTCCTCCCAGGACGCCTCTCTTCTGTCTCTTCTGCCAGTGTTTCTTCATTCTCTTTTGTGTCACGCTTCCTGCTACTCTCGTCGTCAGGAACTCTCGAGGCCTTTTTGGCTTTTATTTGAGAGAAAAACCTGTGATGGACATGGACCTTCTGCCATTGCCTTCACATTTTCACCCTCTGCACCCTCTACACTTGCAGACCAATGTCTTTTAGGACTACTACCACCTCACATATTTCTACCTTCCCACTATTACCCTTTTGACTTTTTTCTTTTTACCATCCTAGACCATAGCCACTAACTGCTTTCTGTTGCTGTTGTCTAAATTTTGTTCTGGTAATGGTTTTATTGCAGTGGAATATCAGAGGGTACAGGGAGAAATCGGGGAAAGCTACAAGTGTTGTTCTCCCAGTTTTTTTCACTTCTGTGTGAAAAACCAAAATTACATTCCACTGTTCACCTTCCCCCTCCCCTCCATCTCTTGCTGTTTTATTACAAGCACTTATCCTTTTCCCACTGAGACATTTAACAAGAGTGCACTTGTGTATGATGATATTTCTTTCTCTTGGCTTTCTGCCCTCATTATACCACAGCTTAGTATGATGGGGATGTTAGTATCTTTCCCCTTCTCACCCATTATAATCTATACTCAACATCTGTTTTCTTCCATACCGCTGCCCCCTCTTTTTATTAGATTTTATTGCTTATGATTTCCTCTGGGAAGATTCTCACTGTGACTCTCATGGGGACCAGTTAAGAGGCTTTTCTCACTTCTTTCCCTCTATGTTTTAAATACTGGTACCTCTACTTATTTAAGTCCTCACACTACTACACTTTCCTGTATAATTAGTGTGTGCTCTTCTATAGCATCGAACTTTGGTTTGTGGTACCTAATCTTCATGACAGCTATCATTTCCCTCATACATGTAAACCCCCTTTGTCCAATCTGTCCCTTGAGCGGACAGATTGTACGCAATACTTTTCTTGGTCTTTCATACAGTTAGTTACAACTTTACCATCTTTGTCCTCACTGCAGCATCACTTGCCATCCTTCAGACCTTGGGTAGGCATTATTGGAAATACGTACCCTGTGGTCTGTTCTCTTGCTGTGCAGTCAAAACTGATTGTACAACAGAACCACTGATGGGTTCATCAACACTTTCACTGTCTCATATGTAGATCTGCATTATCGACACAGATCTAGTGGCTTAACCCTTTAAATGTCAAACCATTGATTTATGCATTATTGCTAGTGCTCCAGATGTTGATCATTGCACTATTATATCTTCTTTCAAATTTGGTATTAGAGGCCTGGTAGCCCTAGGCAGTACAGAATAGGTCTGCACACTCAGTGTGTGCCATATTAAAAACAATCTAGGACCACAGAGTACCCTGTGAGAGCACCAGTTCAATTAAGTGCCAGCTAGAGCAAACCCAGGAACTCACTAATGCAGTCATATTAACTCTCCATTTTCAAGGAAAATGATATTGACCTCATGTTTAGAGGCTTTAAGATGGCTATTGCCATAAGTGGTCAAGGAAATATCGAAAACCTCGATGATAACCCATGTGCAACATTTGTGCTACATCCTTTCAATTTCAGTGCCACTTGTAGTGACATCCTACCAGAATGTTCTAATGCCAGTGAGTCTCTTAAGTAGAGAGAGTGAGAGGTGATTCTGCAACGTGAAATACGTGTTCAGCTGGCACAAGGTTTTACAAGGTTAGGTTAAGGTTCCTAACTTAATTTACAAGCTAAGAGCTGTTACCTACATCAGATTTGAAAGGTTTTATTGTTATAAGACATACAAATAGGGAACAGGATGAAGTTGGAGCCATCTGTGTGCCAGCAACTGACTGTTTCGTTGATGTCTTTATTCTGTAAAAACATGTTCCAGACTCGAGTCATCCTAGGAATAAATGACTTCAGATGAAGTGATGTTCTGGAGAAGGATACAGTCATTTGCTGCCCTTCTTGTTGTGTAGAAGCTCACTTCTCACTATCCTCAGAGTGGAACCAAGTATGGTACAGTAGGCCATCGATTAACACTGATTCCTCTTAGGTGTTTTCTCAATTACATTATTACAAAATTGCAGCAGTTTTTGACTAACACTCTGTAAAATTCAACTAACATGGGTGTCACTTCTGGGAGGGAAAATGTGGAGCACTGTGAGCTGGACTACAGGATTTTTCCCCTCCATCTAGTTTGCTTGTGGGCAGAGGCAGATTTACCATGAAACTAATGAAGCTTAAACTTCAGGGTCTCTAATCCCGGAGGGGCCCCAGAAGCAACTTTAGTCCACATTGCTTAAAAATTTTGGGTCTACTGTATGAGAAGGGATTGCAAAGGGGCCCCTGTAACAGTTCACAAGCTTCAGGGTCCCAAAAATGTAGGTCTGCCACTGCCTGTGGGTCAGTCCATTGTCTTTGTGGGGGAGGCCTTGCTTCCTCCACTGCCTTCTCCATCCCACCTCTCATTGGTCCATACATATATGTCCCATATGATTCTCAGATAGTAAGTAAGTTTATTCAGGTATATACAAATACAGTTACATAGATTATCATACATAGTAGCCTATGTGTAGAGAACCTAGGATAACCTAAAAAAGTCAGACAAAGCAACTTATTTCCACTGGGAAAATCTGTTTGTGATTAAATTAGTTGATTCCTGCATACTAGTCAATACTTGCACTGTTTTCATATCAGTCATTTTGATTTCTTTTGAGGTTATCCTAGGTAATTTACCCTATATGATAATTGTAATGATGTGTACCTGTGCCTAAATGAACTTACTGTGCTCAGATGTAAGCTTCCTGGAGACAATGTGTATATATAAATTGAGAGGGCAGACACAAACTGCACTTGTCCATGTGAGGGACCTTCCCAGTATTTAACAGTTTCTGAGCATACCAACCACCCTTCCTTGTACTATATTTATTGTTGAAAATGCAAGGAAATTATTCCTTTATTTTAATAAATGTATTATGTAATAAATAGTTTATATTTGCAAAAGCATTCCGGTAGTTAATTGCACAGCAGTGAGGGATACAATGGCCTTAGGGCTGTTGCAACCCTCAATTTGACAATAAAAACATGCCAATAGCCTCGAAAAAGATTTCCTCATGACTTTATCATGTTTCACATTTTCTCGGATAGCTTGCATTTATATTATGGTGGGTTTTACCAATATATGCAAGTAATACCCAAGAGCAAATGATAGCCTGTCATATTTTTACACATGTATTGTACAGAATTTGACTACTGTACGACTATCGACTATAGTGCCAAAGCCTCAACCTTCTACCTCAGCCCAGTAGGATCACAGCATCCCTCCACTGTTCAGAATCATTGACATATACTGTACCAGGAACCACAATACAAGATAAATATTATTTGTAGCCTTAAGCAATGCATTAAGCATTAACACATGACATTGAAAAACATTTCTACAGTGGTACCTAGGGATATGAACAGCTCAAAACTGGAACAATTATGTAAGTGTATTTATGTAAGTGTATTTTTGGGGGGTCTGAAATGGATTAATCTAATCTACATTTTTCCTTATGGGAACAAATTCGTTCGGTATTGGCATTCAAACAGCCTTCTGGAATGAATTAAGTTCGTATCCCAAGGTACCACTGTACGTACAGTGGACCCCCGGTTAACGATATTTTTTCACTCCAGAAGTATGTTCAGGTGCCAGTACTGACCGAATTTGTTCCCATAAGGAATATTGTGAAGTAGATTAGTCCATTTCAGACCCCCAAACATACACGTACAAATGCACTTACATAAATACACTTACATAATTGGTCGCATTCGGAGGTGATCGTTATGCGGGGGTCCACTGTATTATTTTTATTTTTGTAAGTTCTAAAGTTCATTTAACACCGTGTTTTCAGGAACGTTACTACCGTGTTAACTGACAGTCTAATGCACTCTGACAATATTGGCCATGTGCATAACAGTAAGGCCACTCACATTCCTCTGGTATTGAAGGCTCTGCTGAAACGACAGATGCATCCAGGCAAGAAGTGAGACGTTCTGCTCTGTTCTCTCAAGAAGTCACAGATGAGTGGAAGGCAGACAATCCAAGAAAGTGGAGCATACTCAAGGTGTGAGTGTACTTGAGCCTTGTACAGAATCTCTCTCATTTTCAGAGAGAGCTACTCATGTTCCTGATTGCCAGCTGGATGAACAGGTGTTACATGTTGCAGAATCATCACAGTTGTACACACAGAAAGATACAACTGTAGCACAAATTTGTATATTCCTTGCCACGGTCATACTTCTGCCTCATATCCACAAGCACAGTACTAGTCCACAGACTACTACTACTAGTGTCCTTAATTCAGTTCAAGGGACACCTGTCATTCAAGCAATATATACCAAGCAAACTTAATTGCTTTGGTATAAAAATTTTTGTGGCCAAAATATATCCAACCCAAGGTTCACTGTGGGCAGTGCTGATGGTGCAATGTACCATCAGCACTGTAGAGTGCCACTTAAACACCATGCTTCAAGGAGCTTCATATACTCCAGCACTTCTAAAACATTGCTGGGACCTAAAAATAATTTGTATACATTTCTAGATAATAGTATCAGAACAACGATTGGTTATGAAATTACAAGATCTATAAATTATAATTTATCAGAACAGGAACTACGTAAATTTAAAAAAAAATAGAAAAAGAGGTATATCTGCAAGAAGCAAGACTCCATGTTGCCGTCATGTGAGCATTCAGTGCCAACTCCATGGTCTTGTATCTCGGGAAATATTACTTTTTTTTTTATTAACGCATCAGCCGATTCCCACCAAAGCAGGGTGGCCCGAAAAAGAAAAGCTTTCATCAGTCACTCCATCACTGTCTTGCCAGAGGGGTGCTTTACATTAGTTATAAAACTGCAACATTAACACCCTTTAGAGTGCAGACACTGTACTCCCCATGTCCAGGACTCAAGTCCAGCCTGCCAGTTTCCATGATTCCCTTCATAAATGTTACTTTGCTCACACTCCAACAGCACATCAAGTATTAAAAACCATTTGTCTCCATTCACTCCTATCAAATACGCTCACGCATGCTTTATGGAAGCTCAAGCTCCTCGCACACAAAACCTCCTTTACCCCCTCCCTCCAACCCTTTTTGGCCGACCCCTACCTCGCCTTCCCTCCACTACAGATTTATACACTCTTGAAGTCATTTTGTTCTATTCTCTCTACATGTCCAAACCACCTCAACAACCCCTCCTCAGCCTTCTGAATAAGTTTTGGTAATCCCACACCTTCTAATTTCCAAACTACGAATTCTCTGCATTATATTCACACCACACATTGCCCTCAGACATGACATCTCCACTACCTCCAGCCTCCTCCTCGTTACAACATTCATCACCCATGCTTCACACCTATACAAGTGTTAGGACAACTGTACTCTCAAACATTCCCCTCTTTGCTTTCATGGACAAAGTTTTTTGTCTCTACAGACTCCTGAGTGCACCACTCGCCCTTTTCCTCTCATCAGTTCTATGATTCACCTCATCCTTCATAGTCCCATCTGCTGACACATCCACTACTAAATATCTCAATACATTCACCTCCTCCATATTCTCTCCCTCCAATCTGATATTCAGTCTTTCATCACCCAATCTTTTTGTTATCCACATCACCTTACTCTTTCCTATATTCACTTTTAATTTTCTTCTTTTACATACCCTACCAAATTCATCCACCAACCTCTGCAACTTCCCTTCAGAATCTCCTAAAAGCACAGTGTCATCAGCAAAGAGCAACTGTGACAACTCCCATTTTGTGTTTGATTCTTTATCTTTTAACTTCACACCTCTTGCCAAGACCCTAACATTCACTTCTCTTACAACCCCACTTATAAATACAGTGGACCCTCAGCTAATGATATTAATCCGTTACTGAAAGCTCATCGTTAGCTGAAATTATTGTTAGCTGAATTAATTTTCCCCATAAGAAATACAGTGGACCCTCGCCTAACAAACGCATCGCATAACGTTAAATTTGCCTAGCGATAAATTTTAACGCAAAAATTTTGCCTCGGCTAGCGCTAAAAAACTCGCTCAACGCAATTCATTCAAGACGCGTCCATGTGCGGCCTGAGCCCGCCTCGCTTGTTCCGTGGGTGCCAGTGTTTACAAGCCAGCTACCGTGGTCGCTTCCAAGCATACAATCGGAACATTTCATATTATCACAGCCTTTTTAGTGATTGCACCTGCAAAATAAGTCACCATGGGCTCCAAGAAAGCTTCTAGTGCCAACCCTACAGGAAAAAGGGCGAGAATTACTATGGATATGAAGAAAGAGATCAGTGCTAAGTGTGAAAGTGAAGTGCATGTCTCCGAGCTGGCCAGGTTGTACACAAAACCCCAATCAACCATCGCTACTATTGTGGCCAAGAAAACGGCAATCAAGAAGCTGTTCTTGCCAAAGGTGCAACTTTGTTTTTGAAACAGAGATCACAAGTGATAGAAGATGTTGAGAGACTGTTATTGGTGTGGATAAACGAAAAAACAGATAGCAGGAGATAGCATCTCTCAAGCGATCATATGTGAAAAGGCTAGGAAGTTGCATGAGGATTTAATTAGAAAAATGCCTTCAACTAGTGGTGATGTGAGTGAATTTAAGGCCAGCAAAGGTTGGTTTGAGAGATTTAAGAATCGTAGTGGCATACATAGTGTGATAAGGCATGGTGAGGCTGCCAGTTCGGACCACAAAGCGGCTGAAAAATATGTGCAGGAATTCAAGGAGTACATAGACAGTGAAGGACTGAAACCTGAACAAGTGTTTAATTGTGACAAAACAGGCCTGTTTTGGAAGAAAATGCCAAGCAGGATCTACATTACTCAGGAGGAAAAGGCACTCCCAGGACATAAGCCTATGAAAGACAGGCTTACTCTGTTGATGTGTGCTAATGCTAGTGGTGATTGCAAAGTGAAGCCTTTATTGGTGTATCACTCTGAAACTCCCAGTGTTCAGGAAAAACAATGTCCTCAAGGCTAATTTGTGTGTGCTGTGGAGGGCAAACAGTAAGGCATGGGTCACTAGGGACTTTTTCTATGACTGGTTAC